ACGACACTGGAGAGTTTTAAAGTTGTAGGATTCTATATGAACTGAGTGTTATATGAGGTCAAAGTAACCGTCAAAAGAGTTCTGTAGTTATTATTGTAGATCTTGACAGTCACCAGCAAAGTAGTGTGTGGGGAGCGCCTGGTTCCTGACTTAGGTGATTTTTTCCCTGAAGGCAGAAGAGGGTCAGCCGAGTTGAAGAGTAACTCAATTTAACGTCAGCCTAAAGAACATGAATAGCTTGGCTTTCTTTTCCCTTCCACTAGGCAATTAATCAGACAAAATACAAAAGACACTACTGTATTTTATAATCAGGCAATCACATATATTTAACTGGAAAACAGAGAATCCCAACACTCAATCACAAAAACTTATAGTCTGGTTATGAAGACAAAAACAAAAGTGAAAGAGAAGTGATATAAAAAAGCGTAAAATATAATCAGTACTGCATTTCACTGCATGGTAGGAAGTGTCAGAACTTGTAAACAAGTCTGAGCAAGTGGTCCATGAAAAGCAGTTTATTCTTCCAAATTCTTGTGATGAGATTTTAATGGTGTCTAGATAAATGAGGTGTTACCGTATGGTTATCTACATAGCCAAGAACCAAAAAAAAGGCTTGTAAGCAATCCAAATAGCTGTTGCTAAATTCAAGTACTAAACAGAGTATTCCAACCTAAACTCTACAGGGTCCCCTGGTTTCCTGACCCCAGAGCAGATCAGACGCAGGAAGGTGGAAGCAGAGCAGATTACCAAGAGCCGAGAACAAGGGCCACTTCTTACCTACAGCAATGGAGGAGAAAGAAAAGGTGTAAAAAGCAGTACCACAGAGCTCGATTATTTTGGAAGTCATTACTTCATAGTACAAGAACTGTCATTCATAATCATGACTAAATCAGCAAGAAAAATAACTATATGTAATAATATCTATCAGAAATTTTTTCAAATATAGTGGTTTTATATTTTAAACTTTCAAGGGTTTAGCTTCAGTACAGGGATAATTCATCTACGTGGAACATCTTGTTCCAGAGGTACTGTGTGTATGAAAACTTCCCTAAACCAGTGTACACACAGGAAAATAGCTTAGCAGTAAAGGCCTTTATCGCAAGCATGTACTACTTATGTATTACTTGTATGGTAAAGCAATAACAAAATGATCTTGGATATTCAGGCCGACTTCCTGGAAAAGTTGTTCCTAAATGAATTTATAAGTAAAAGTTGTATGTTTTTCAAAATGTTCTATGAAAGACATTGGAGCCAGCAAGAGATAACAGAGTGGGAACAGGAGTGCAACTAGATCAAACTGAGAGAGCCCAAAAGATCAGATGAGATAAGAGAAAAAGAGAAGGAAGAAACTCCAGAAAGAAAGAATGTAGAAAAAAATGGAATGGGGCAAAAACAAGAAGAGACCAGAGTCTTTAAAGAGACCAGTGGGGGCATCAACGCAACTAGGAAGACTGACGAAAGTTCTGAGGAAGAAAAAATAGGAGTGACAAACGCTGAACTACAGGGCTCGGCCAAATGCTTTTATTTCTCAAAAAAGTTGAAAACACAACTATACATGAAGCTTTTTAAAATAATAACTCTTGTTTAGGCAGAGGGTATTAGAACATAATTCAGCTGTTTCCTCACTTTGTCTAACATAGTTATACTCAATTTTGAACAATAAAAAAGGGTTTTCTTAGTATCCAATGTGATTTTTACTGGCAACAAGTAAAAATCTAGGCTTTCTCCTTATCTAGCCACAGCTATCTGTTTCTATATGACCCGCCATGTTCCTAAAAAGGACTCTGAATGACTAGATTTGAGATTCTGTTCCTTGTAACAAATAGACTTTTTTGCTTTGGCCATTTTTTTCCCACCTCATTTCATGAGTAGGTGGCTGCTACCTCTCCTCCTCTTAACCTTGTTATTTTTCCTCCCTGCCACTCCTGTTTGTACCCTTGTGGTACTACTCCTATCAAATGCTGTCAGGGACAGGCAGTGACAGCCCCAAAGTGCCACATCACAGCATTATGACCTACCACTCATGTGTGCTTTTCAATTTCTTAGGCTGGTCAATGTAAACCTTACAGAAAGAGCCCGGGTTTGGGACCAGCCCGGTGGTGCAGTGGTTAAGTTCGCACGTTCTGCTTCTCGGCGGCCAGGGGTTCGCCGGTTCGGATCCCGGGTGCGGACATGGCACCGCTTGGCAAAAGCCATGCTGTGGTAGGCGTCCCACGTATAAAGTAGAGGAAGATGGGCATGGATGTTAGCTCAGGGCCAGCCTTCCTCAGAAAAAGAGCAGGATTGGCAGTAGTTAGCTCAGGGCTAATCTTCCTCAAAAAAAAAAAAAAAACAGAAAGAGTCCAGGTTCCTACCTTTACATGTGCCCCAAGATATCTCTGAGAATAATTCATTCACCAAAAATAACACACAAGTGTATTCTCTTTCATTAAACTTAGGTTTCTTTCCCTGCAAAGATACTATACATGAAACATCTACTATTCTCATTAAACCTTATACTTAATGACCAGTACAGCCACTTTTTCTGGATAGGAAACTTTCTTAACTTCTCTCTATTCCCACCTTGCTCCCTGATCAATTAGCTAGATATCTTCTTGCTCTAAAATCAGTACATGCCTCTCCTTATAACAAACCAGTCATTAACCTTCTAACTCAGTTGTTCTTGCCCAGCTTTCTGTCCTGGCAAATCTGAGGGGACCAACATACTTCTTCTACCTGTATTCATTGCTCACTAATGACAATAAACAATAAACGAGGTGGGAGGGGGCAAGGGTTGGGAGGTGTATTTGAAAAAACTCCAGTGTAGCTTCTGGCGCAAGTAGGCTCCCCATCTGACTGAGAATTGACAATTTAACAACCGAATTTCTAAAAGGCTAGTTTGTAGGTAATAAGGATATGAAAGCCATAGCAGAAGTTAGAAGACATAGCAAATTACTTCAGGATGTCATTCTTACCTACAGAGATGTACGAATAGTCATTATCAGACAAGAAAAAAAGCAAGTGCCTCTGTCTCAAACTTTATATTCTAAAGATCTCTCAGAAGTCTCCAACCTACTCTAAAATATCTCTACGGCAGCCATAAATCTGAGTGCACAGTAACATCACTGAGTTTTCTAGTGGCTGGTTGGATTTTTAAAAAAGATTTTCTTAATCTTTTTGAACAATTTGCTTAACTGTCCAAAATAATGAAATATCTGCCCTAAGTTTGAGGTGCTCTGTGCTAACTAGCCTGGGCCAAAGAGTGATAAAGCAGGCCTAAGAACAGGCACCTTTCAGGACGGCTGTGATATTGAGGCTGCTCTTCCCAGCAAGGGGCTGGGGGTAAGGAGGCTGGAATAGAGCTGCAAGAAGCTTGTGGGCCTGGGGGCTGAGACCTGGAGGCAGTAGCAGGAGCTAACAACCTTGCAGGGGAAATTACTCAAAGCCTCATTCCCCACTGGGCAGGATGCAGCCTGCCCATCAGCTTTTTCTCCAATAAGTGCATAAGTAACGGGTAGTATCCTAAGGTGAGGACTTCTAGATTTGGTTAAGTAGCTGCAACTGACAAAGGGAACTCTAAGCTGTAAAGATTTTCGCAGATGCTGGATTTACTCCAGCGTAAGTTTTGGGCTCTTCTAATGCTGTGGAGGTGACACACACTCTGGCCTCCTGGTAGAAGCAGCTAAAAATGATGAATGGAATCCCTACAGTTACTGCACGCTTAGGACTCTGATTTAACGACAGGAATACAGAGAACAAAATACTTCAAGGGATAGTTGTTGCCTGTATCTTAAGTAATTGCAAACACCATAAACACGTTACAGGGTATTCAGACACAACACGGATTCAAACTTACTAGATTGTGGGGGGAAAAAACCCACAGCTGCTGACTTCTGAAACACGAAACAAAAGTAGTTGATGTAGGAATAGTGGGAAAGGGAATTGTTTAAGATTTTCCTGTATTGTCTATGCATTTAAAAAAAGAAAATGGAAAAACCAAACAAATGAGCAAATTCATCCATAGAGTCTACCACTTTTCTAACAGATTGGGTTATTTTATCAATCTGAGAAGAATTAAGATTCCTCCAATAAAAATAAATGAAACAAAAGAATAAAACTTACTCATTCACCACCTCTTGCTGTGGAAAGCAATTTTAATTCTATTAAATTATTTAAGATTAGGAGAACATCACTACAGTCAATCAGAATGCAATCACTCCTAATTTGCATCTGCAGGGCATTGGTAAATACTGCTCTAGCTGTTAATTAAATTTCATTATAATAAAAAACACTTTTTACTTTAGTGGAATTTTAAAACAAAATAAGTACATTGTTAAAAATATTTTCCTAGACTGCAGGGTAAGAGATTAAACAGAAAGGTGATATCCAGTCTCTCCAGGAAATTACTAAGGGAAAAAAAGTATTTTAACTCCAATGAGGAACACGTGGGAGTGCTTGGCAGCCCTTTCCCCTTGTCTCTGTCTCCCAGTAGGGTTCTGATTTAGGGCCTTTATTGCTGGTGGGCAGTTTGGGAAAGTCACTTTGGATTAAACAATGAACAGCTGGATTTTCCTCCCTAAAAGTTAATGCCATCACTCCAAGGGATGCTGATTCAATCTCCCCAAAGAAAGCTTCTTGTCCTGCTAAAGATTTCCCCATGAAAATATGGCATTCTTGATAGAATTTCTTTTCTAACATGAAAGTAGGATTAAGAAGAGGAGAAAAAGATAAATAAAAGAGATGATGACCAACAAATTGTGCCCCTTCACCTACAACAGGGGTGAAAACTGGAGACTAAAGAATGGCTATGAATGTCCTGCAGAGATACCCACTAGGTAACTAGCAGTACAAGGAATATGACAACCTGAGCGTTTTTCTTAAACAATTTTCTTTCCTCAAGAAGTTCCCACAGATCTTAAGCTGTAGGTCTCAGTTTAAGAAAAAGAGGCCATCAGGAGTCACCAACTCAGGGATCCCTAAATACCCCGTCGGTTCCAGGGGCTTAGACCCTCCACACCCACCTCATCATCACTGTCGGACGTCTCAGAGTCTGAGGAGGCTGCAGGCTGACTCACAGGAGGCTCCTTCTCCTCAGAGTCACTGCGCTTTCGCTTTGCCAGGGACAGGAGCTCCTGTTAGGGCAGAAGTAGTCACGTGAGTTTTATTTAACAGAGAAGAAATATCCAAGAATCATAATAGGCCCACCCTCCCTAGATCTCTTCTACTTCTTTGTGCTTTCAATTGAAGGACATCATCATGAGAACTTTTATCACATGAACAGATCGACTACCAGTATTCCTAAGTGCTAAAGAAATGTTTTCAAAACCTGTTCCCTTCTGTCTTAATGAGAAATGTATATCTGAAATGGAAAAGTGACTAGAAAACTGAACTGGAGCCTACTTCCAAATTGTCACCATTTCCTCTATAAGCTACAGAAGTACTGATTCTCAGGAACTGATATGATAAGAGCCACGACTACAAAAGGAATTTGCTCACTTCTGACTAGTATAGTTAACTAATACTCTGAGCATCCTCTTACTGTAACTCACGGTAAAACTGACATTTGTGGGGCTGTTCTGAATAAGCTGACAAACTACAAGTTTCTGAGGTCATTTTTTTATTTTGCATGCTTCAACCAGAAAAAAAAAAGTATATTTCCAGTGGTTAATCCAGGGTCTGACAACCACCAGTAAATGTGCTGGCCACTACATGAGAATCCTAATTTGACAACCCCAGTATTCCCATTCCCCACCTCTGTCTTGTCCTGGTGATTTAAGAGAGATCACAGGGAGAGGGATGTGCCACTTAATGAGTCACGGCCACAAACCAGGGTTTGCTCTCTCATGTGGTTCCCTCTCCTGTTACTTCTCCCCAACTCAGTCCAGTTAATCAAAAATGCAACAAAAGGTCACTTACCCTGGTTCTTGCTCTCTGCTAATATCAATACCAGTTCACAATTATATTGTACTTACTAGATACCAAATATTTTTCAAAGCATCTACCATTTAACCTTCACAACAACCTTAAGGTAAGTATCATTATCATCTCCATGTAAAGACAAACTAAGGAGCAGGAGAGGTTAAGTAACTTACTCAAGGTAACATAGCTAGTGGGGCTGGCCCCGTGGCCGAGTGGTTAAGTTCGCGCGCTCCGCTGCAGGCGGCCCAGTGTTTCGTTGGTTCGAATCCTGGGCGCGGACATGGCACTGCTCATCAAACCACGCTGAGGCAGCGTCCCACATGCCACAACTAGAAGGACCCACAACGAAGAATATACAACTATGTACCGGGGGGCTTTGGGGAGAAAAAGGAAAAAAAATAAAATCTTTAAAAAAAAAAAAAAAAAAAAAAAAAGGTAACATAGCTAGTACATGTCAGAGCCAGGATTCAAACCAAGGCAGAGAGAATCCTAGCTCCTAATTCAGTCACAGTTTACTGTCTAAAAGGTTTTCCCTTCTGCCAAAAAAAGAGAAAAATACAACTAATAAATACTAGTAGTATTATTCCTTGGTGATAATGGTGCTATACAACTATAGGTCAAGTGCCAAGATAGATTTTAAAATAATAGACTGCTACAAAGTATCTGTTTTCTTCTTCCAGTCTCTTTCTATTTTAGGAGTATACCCTCCTTGGCCAGATTGAGAAAATGACCTTCTCAGATTAACAGCTGACGTTCTCCTCTACATAAGCAGTCATGAAACGTTACTCTTCTCCTTTCATTAGAGAGCGCTAGCATACCAACTTCCTGAAAAGGCTGAAGATTATAAGAACACTCTACTTTCTCATACAAAAATGGTAACTCCTATTAACCAAACGCAAATTACAGCAATATTTGTATGTCTACAGTCTTTCTGAAACTTGGGGTGTAATTTACATACAGTACATTTTATCCTTTCTCCTGTTCAGTTCTGTGATTCTGACAAATACGTACATAGTTTAACCACTCCCACAATCAAGATAGGGGACAGTTCCACCATCCCCCCAACTGTTGCTGTAATTTGCATTTAGTCAATAGGAGTTACCATTTGGGTATGAAAAAGTAGAGTTCTTACGATTTTTAGCCTTTTCAGGAAGTTGATGCTCCTCATTTCCCTCCCCTAACCTCTGGCAAGCACAGACCTGTTTTCTGTCCCTACAGATCTGCCTACTGTAGAACATCATATAAATGGAATCATACAGTATGTAGCCTTCTGAGTCTGGCTTCCTAGCACAATGAATCTGACATTCATCCACGTTGCGGCACGTGTCAGTAGTTTGTTCCTTTTTATTGTTAAGTAGTATTTCATTGTATGGCTGTACCACACTTTGCTTATCCATTTACCAGTTGAAAAACATTTGGGTTGTTTCCATTTGGGGAAGATTATATGTTCATGTACAGGTTTTTGTGTAAACCTAAGTTTTTATCTCACTTGGGTAAATAGCGAGGAGTGGGATTGCTGGGTTATATGGTATTTGTGTATGACTTTTACTATTATCTTTTTCCCCACATTACCTTAATGCAAACCTAAAAAATTCAGGAAGACTTCTGGTAAGTAATCTCTTTCCTGATCTTCCGAGGTTCACAAAAAGAGGTTCCATTCTATACTAAAAACCTAACAAATGGCTCTTCTTCCTCAACAAACAATTGCATCTGATTGGCACAGTTCCTCCTCTTCTATGACATTTAATACCATGCTAACAATAGTATGGAGACAGCAAAGACCTTCTTAACAGTTTCTTAACTGAAAGATACCCTTTCTACAAGTTGAGAAGTGAACAGGAGGTTACTGGGAGAACTCATGGCAAGGCTGCTCTTTATAGTTAAGTCCATTTATTCTATTGAGGGCTCATAAGTATAACTGAATAGACCGACGTGCCATGGAAAGGCCTTTCCAACACTGCACACATGAAGAGACTGTCAGATCTGCTACCCGCAGGGGTTGATTTATCCAACACCTGTACTCAAAAAAGCCAATCTAAAACTGACTCATGCACAGGGGGTGGGTCCATCCACAGCTCTCTTCTGCCAGCCTACTTCACTGCGCCACACTGGTTGAGACAATGTTTCTATGTATCCAGTGGTTCTCTCTCACCATCATCCCTGTATTTCATCTCATCCAGTGAAAACCTTCCCTTACTTATCCCAGCATTCCTCTAGGAGAATGGCAGTGGGGGTACCAGCATGGATACCAAATTTAAGCTGAACTAAAGATCTGCTTAGAGTAATGCCAATGCCCAACATACTACAGGAATGGTTGTGCAGGGCGCCACATCTGGTTTCTAGAGCAGTTTCCTTAAACTAGACTGCCAAAACTGAGACCCTAAAATAAAGCAAGTCTAATTGTACTACGTAATGTTAATTAAAATAGTATTATTCTGATTAAGATTAGAACTTTAATCCATCAATATGTGAAGACTCATAACCCTGAGGATTAATCCCCCTAACCCGTCATTCACGAATAGTGTATTTTTTGTGATGTCATGTCAGGATCAACCTGTAATAAAGCAACTTAGCTCCCTCTTAACTTACTTAAAGGAAATTAAATGCCATCTCTTTAGTCAGATTTCCCATGATCACATGAAAGTGGGATACATATTCTGCACCCCAGAAAAGGAGAATAAAAGCCTATATGGATAAACCACAGAGTTTTTATAGCTAATTAGCATGCTGAGCTCTTTTTCAGTTATTCATTCCAAAAATATAGCTAATGGAAGAAATTACTACCAGCTAGGGTGACCAAACATCCCTGTTTGCTGAGGATTATCCTGGTTTTAGCACCGAAAGTCCTGAATTCTGGACTGAATTCTCAGTTCCAGGCAGACCGAGACAGATGGTCACCCTTCTAGCAGCACCTATTAGGTACTAAGCCCTTGGTAATAGCACGAAGAAAAGATACACGGTCCTTGACCTCACAGAATTTAAAATCAAGGGAGGAAGACAGACAACAAACAAGTAAAGAAACAGTTATATCTAACGATACGTGCTAAGAGGGAAGTGAATCAAATGAATGAGAACCTATCTGCAATAGGGTGATCAGGGGCCGCCCCTCTGAGGCAATGGCACTTACACTGAGACTAGAAACCCCGGAGGGTAGAAAGAGGGGTGCAGTTTTCTGGACAGAGGTCTCCAGACGGAATAGGAGTGGCCCTGAAGCTGCCAACAGCTCGACATAGCCAAAGAACTGAAAGAGAACCAGTGTGACTGGAGCTTAGCAGGCAAGCGGGAGAACGGAATGAGGTAGGTTAGAAGTAAAAAGAAACCAGCTCATTCCGAGGTTTATACGGCAGGATCAGCAGCATGGATTTTATCTGAAGGCAGTGGGGAGCCATCAACTGGTATCAAGCAGGGGAGGAACCATCCCTTGAGGGTTTTAAAAGAGCACTCTGACTGACAGAGGAACAGACTAGAAGGGCCAGGGTAGAAGTGTAGACAGGAGTCAGAAGGAATCCACAGTGGCATCACCACCGTGGATGGAAGCCTGGACAAGTCTGGGAGCCACAGGGACAAAGGGAAGTGGGAGGATTTGAGAGATGGCTGAGGAGAGAGTAGCAATTCACAGAGGTTTAAATTTGAGATGTTGATTCCTATTCTTTCTTTAATGTCAAACCCATTGGTGGAGGAGTATGATTCCACTAGCGGACACTGGGTAAGGAACAGAGTCAGGGAGGTATTTCTATTTTGTTGGAACTATTTCAACAAGCATGTACTATTTCTATAATTAAAAAAAAAGAAAACAAATCAAAACAATGAACACACACACAAAAACCCTTCTGAAGTAATAATTCCAAAGTGGCAGCATAACAATCCTTCACATTTAACATGATTGGCACTAAATGTAGTAACTTTCTCTTCAAAGTTCCAGTAAAGTAATTATAATTGTAGATAAAATACTGAATTACATAAATGCCCACAATGCCATAGAATTGACAAAATAAAATCAGTTTTCAACCCATTCAAAATAAAAGGTACTAAAAGTTAAAAAAAAATATTCTACTGTTGTTACTTGCTTTTACTTAGCTCTCTCTCTAATGTACTCTCTAACTAACGCACATTTCTACCCGGTAAAGAAGGGATATTGGTACTAGAGTAGAAGGGCTGGAGCAAGAACCCCTAATTGAGTGTCTTTAACTCTAAGTAATCCCACTGTAACCAG